CAAGGGCCTGAGTTCAATCCCCGGTTCCGCATTAAAAAACTGTCCTAGAGATTTGATTTGAAACTGTCTCATTGCTATCTGTTTATCAATAAAAAAAAAAAAAAAAAAAAAAAACAATAGGCTTGAAATCTGTTAAGTTTTCTCTTCTGGAGGGAGAAGACACAACTGCATTAACCTCTTGTTATCTGAGAGGGGAAAATGTTTCCATAAAGTTCAGTAAGTTCCCTGCAGCTTAATCATTTACAGTTCTTTTAAACATATGTGTGCTCCTTCTGTGACAGCATCCCTGGCTCCCTGGTATTTTTTAGTAAATTCCTTTTGTACCACCTGTTGGCCATACATCTAAACATCATTTTAATGCTGCCAATATTCGTAATGTATTCTGTTTGCTTTCAGGTGCGGCTAAATCGAGTCCAGCATCTAAACCAGGTTCCACACCTTCTCGTCCCTCGTCTGCCAAAAGGGCTTCGTCCAGCGGCTCAACATCCAAGTCTGATAAAGATTTAGAAACCCAGGTCATACAGCTTAATGAGCAGGTAAGAGACTGTCTCTACTACCCTAAAGGACAGGGAGACCAGACCCCATGGCCTGACCTTGGGAAGGGAAGGGAAGGGAAGGGAAGGGAAGGGAAGGCAAAACCCAGAGTTTTGAGAAAAAGCAATAAAAGGAATTGCAGCTGCTGTCACATTCCTTCCTTGATAAGCCTGTGACTCTTTTGAATGTGTCAGAAAACAGAAAAAGTGAGAATGGTTAAAGTTGGAAATAAACTAAAATTGGAAGCCACATAACCAGTAAAATAAAATCAGTCACCTGTAATGAATGAAAGATGTCACAGATCTTAAAACTGTACATTAAAATGCAGTAGATGATTCAGCGCTGCTGTGGGCCCACGTGCCATCCTCCTCCTCTGTTCCTTGGTGGCAGTCCTGAGCTCCAGGATAGCTCATAGTCTAACCTCCCTACTTTTGGCCAGTCTGGAGAGTGTTGAAGACTCCTTTAGGGTCAGGCTGTGTCTTTCCCTCTCCTCCCAATCCCCCTTTTTCCTTCCTTTTAGCAACATACGTCAAACCTGTTTCATGTGACAGATGCTGGGCTTAATCTCAGTAGTAGCACAGCACGGGCTGGACACCCTCCCTACCCCTAGACCACAGTTACAGGCAGAAAATTGTTGTTCAGGCGGAACACAAACCCGGCCCTTCTCACGGTGGCAGAAATTGGGTGGCCTGAGAGCACTGAAGCCAGGCTTGGGAAGATCTGAGGAGCTCCAGCAGTATTTAAGTAGAACTTTCCTTTTGTATTTAATACAGTAAGTCTAGGTCCACTGGCTTTGAAGTTTGCAGTATAAAGCTTAGGTCTCCTCTCTACCTAGCAGTAGCTCCTTTTGCCTAGGATTGCACACAGTGTGATAAAACACTGCGTGCCTGTGGGGCACTGCAGAAGCTGCTCACTTCCACCTCCGGGGTGCTAGTGTCGTTCATCGCAGCCCCTCCACCATGAGGCGTGCGAGCCTGACCTTAGATCCTCAGGCGTTCCCAGCCACTTGGACAGCCAGGCCCCAAGGAGGACTCTTTGATGAGCCAGGAAGGGTCTGTAAACAGTTTTAATATAATTATGTATTTGTAGTCAAGAGTATAGTTTAAAAAGCAGGCAGTTATTTAGAAGGGATATGTTCTTTGTGAAAAAGGGCATCATTTGAAGTCACCTGGCAGTGAAGACTACAGTGTCCTGCTTAACCTCCTGACGCTCTGTTGCAGACAGCATCTAGTAACAGACTTCTCTGGGGTGAAGGCAGTAGGAGCAGTAGTAGCGAGCCCTGGGCCACAAGCCTGGCTCCCAGCACGCTGAAGCTGAACTGAAGAGAATGAGGCATGGGGCAGTCATGCTTGGGATTTATGCCCTTCTCTTCCGAGAAACACAGGTTCTTTTGATATCACCTCATCTCTTTCAGGATTCCTCTCCTCCCTGAGTTCTTTCTTCACCACACTCAGTTTTTGCAGCCCTCCTGCCCCAACTCTGGCCGCACGGACACCCCCAGGTCCTCTCTCCCCTACTTCTCCCCACCCTGTTCCTTATAGCTTAGAGCAGCCAGCCTGCCTGTCTCACTGGGACTTGCTCTCATTAGAGCCACATCATAGGAGCCATCCCTCGCACCCCCAGACCTCCCCCATGCCTCAGCCACACTATCCATTCTGCCATCTGAAATGGCACTCCAGAGATGACAGTGAGGGAAAGGAGAGGAGAGGACAGCCCATGGTCTTCCTTGTCCTTGATATCCCTTTATGACTTCAAGAGGCTGCTCTTGCCCTTCCTGCCCCCTGACACCTTCACACTGAAGAGAAGTGTGCCTGGCCCCAAGCCGCTGCATCAGGGAAAGGTCAGACGCACCCTAAATCAGGAGGCCTCTGTTCAAGACGTGTGCTGAGCATTTCCTGCAATGCATTCCTCTGGTGACCTGGTGGTGCCATCGGTCCCTCCATTTCCTGTCCCTGAGGCTTACACAAGGCCCCCTGAGACTAATGGCTGGCCACACAGGCATCACGGAGTTGGAGCTAAGAATGCCAGGACCAGGAGGAGCCAAGTGGAAATGCTTAGGCAGAAGCATGAATTATAGTAGCAATAGAGAAAGTGACAACTGCTGTAAACTTTAAGAATTTTCATTTGCTTGGCCTTGTGCCTTTATTCAGTCTCCCATGATACACTATAAAAGTAACACTGTACTAGACAATTCCAGTGATAGAAATGAATCAAAAGATGCAGGGGTGGAAAAGACAGATAGTTAGGGATGCTTTCTGGACAGTGTGTTAGCCATCAGGAAGTGGGTTGCATTCGGTGCTGGGCTCTAGAACTGCTGGCAGATCTACAGGGTGGCATTGGTTAGCCCAAGCAGAGACAGTGACTGGCATGTGGTCGGCGGGCCCTGGGAGGACCAGTGATCTGTGGACACACTGAGAGCACTTGGGAAAACTCTGAAAAGGGCACTTCCCCTCAGAGCACTTGCCCTTACCTGTTCCCAAAGGTCCTCCTGAGGGTGCGTCTCCAGCGCCTCCTCCATCCCCACTCGGGTGTCTGCCGTGACGTGTGAGGGACGCGCCTGGCATCTGTCTTGGTGAAGAGACCTTGAAAGTGAAATTTAATTTGCCAGTCAATCTTTCATCGTATCGTCTAGCTGCTGACAGTTTTTACTAGGGAGCGTTTATAGCAGAGCACCTCTTACCTAGCGCATCTGGAATCCCACCAAAGCGCGGTGCATGCTGAGTACACAAAAGCCTCCTTGTGCGAGCCAGAGCTCTCAGGCGGCAGGCAGACCGCAGTTTCTTGAGGTGACTGTGTCCTTGCTTGGTTGGGGTGAGCTGGAAAGTGGTGGTACATCTGATACCACAGCTCCGTGGGGTGCCACCAGCCCAGGGTTGATGTGGATGCTGCTGCTTGTTGTCGGTTTTTGCAACATCCAAGTCTAGTATTGACAGAAATAAGAGATAAAGGGTTGGCAAGCTGAACACCCAGGCCTTAGCTACATGAGTGGGTACCAGTGAGGCTGGCACAAAAAGGCCATATGCCTGCGTCTTCAGGATGGAGCTGAGTTTGCCAGGTGTGTGACAAGCCGGTGGGCACTGCATGTGTCCCTGCATTTCTGAGTGAACCTGCGGTTGTAGGCAAATAGCACATCCACAGGCCCAGGCTTATTGAAGAATGCAATTGTACAGCCCAAACATAATTTCTGAAAATTCTGAGGTGATTTTTAATGTGCCGGAAGAGATTTCACCTAGAGGACCCTCTTGATTTAATGCATTTCTCAAAGATTATACAGAAATATAAATGAACGGGTATTTTAAAAAGGGAACAGGCTCTCCTCGAGCTCCAGGCACAGGGTGCGTGTCTGAGCCTGTGTGGAGCTGCCCCGTGAGCAGGAGTGTGGCCACCTGAGGTCTGAAGCCAGGCCTTGCCACAGAGTTTCTTCAGCCGCAGGCATTGTGGCCTCCCCGTCGTGGCTGCACCGTGTAAACAGAGAAGCTGCAAGCTCCGCAGGATCCTTTAGCCAGCGGGGAACAGGAAATGACAGCATGCTGGCTGAGGAAGTCCAGGCTCTCCTGTGTTTCCAGGGACGCAGCCAAGGCCAGAGCTAGCGAAGCTCCGACAGTCTTCCCGGCCAGCCTGTCACTCCATTCACTTTTCCTTGTGCTCTGGACCTAATTTCTTGGTGGCTAGCCTTTGTCCATTTTGGTTCAGTGTCATTTTTGAAGGGATCTAAAACTAAGGTTAGTTCGTGGTACAGAAGTTCTGAAGGAAGAGCCCTCAAAATGATCTAACCACTCCTAGGAGTCTGTCGTCTCTTCTCCTTCCTCCCATTTTCTTCTCCCTTCTTTGAAGAATATTTTAGTCTGTTCAGGCTGCCGTAACAAAATACCGTACGCTGTGTGGTTTATAAACACCAAATTTATTTTTCTGGCAATAACTCTGGAAGTCTTTGAAGTTGAAGATTGAGGCATTGGCAGATGCAGTGTCTAGCGAGAGCTCATGAGTGCCCCTTCTCGCCGTGGCTTCCTGTGTTGGATGAATGGTTATTTGGGCCTCTTTCTAACACTGATCCCATTCCTGAAGCTCCGTTCTTAGGACCTTGGCAGGCACCTCACAAGGGCCCTGCCTCCTCATGCCAGCACACCGGGCTGTGTGTCAACATGGGAGTTGGGAAGGAGGGGAGCACATGAACATTCAGATGATAGCAACAAGTTAGGGCAAAGATAGTCCAGCCCACACTAGCAGAAGGAGGGCTCCTTCAGCCGAGTGGCAGTGTGCAAGCTGGTTGCTGCACTCGGTTGAAAGAAGTGACCAGCGTGCTCCTGCAGTGGGACATTTCGGGCCCAGATTGAATGCAGGCTAAGGAAGAATAATCTAGACATTTTCCCTTCACTGTAATTCAAGCTGGGCCCGAAATGTCCTTAAACACCATCTAGACATTAAAAATCTAGACATTTTCCCTTCACTGTCTCCATCACACTCGCCACTTGCTCTCCGTATCTCCCAGTACATGTTTTATGTCCTTAAACACCATCCTAATTGCTTACTTACTTTTTCTTGTGTATTTGGAATTTTCTTCTCTATCCTCACCCTCCTACAGGTACATTCATTAAAACTCGCCCTTGAAGGTGTGGAAAAGGAAAGGGATTTCTACTTCGGGAAGCTGAGAGAGATTGAGCTGCTCTGCCAAGAGCACGGGCAGGAAAATGACGACCTCGTGCAGCGATTAATGGAAGTGCTGTATGCTTCAGACGAACATGTGAGTATGCAGGCACTCCTGTCGGAGTCCAGTGGATCCAAGTGGCCTGCGAGTGCTTCCCTGCAGTCTCATGAGAAGTGACCTCAGCCAGGGCACGTGGCCGTCCCACAGCAGTGTCTTGTCACCACCGTGTGGCCCACTTATCTGGGCCTGTGGGATGTATATCTGTAAATTAGGAAGAGATGGCTATAGGTGGGGTTTCAAGAGAGAGGCACTTGTGTGGCCAGATCCCCAGCATGTCAACTCTGAGCAAAAGAGCAGTAAGAATTAATGTAAAGATTCCTCTTTGTTCATGAAAGATCAGAGTATGGCTAAGGAAGAATAATCTAGACGTTTTCCCTTCACTGTAAGCCCCACAACGCTCCATTTTTATCTCCTAGCTGGTTGCTTGGTAACTCACTGTCAGGAAGGCCCAGAAGAGGGGCGCAGCCCTTTATTAGAAACACTTCTGAATCCCTCCACCAGAGCTGCTGCTCGTGAGAGAATATGCCAGGGGAGACCCAGGATGCAGCTCTGTCAGGTGGTAAAAAGCAGAGGTGCAGAGCATGGATGAACAATAGGCAGAGATGGGGAGGGGGCGCCCCGGGCTGCCTGTGCTGGGAGGGAGAGGCCTGGTCCCCAGATGAAGAGGTGGAAGCTGGTGGAGCATCACCTTCTAGCAAGCTTGATTATGGAAGCCAGAGACCAGGGCTTGGGGTTTGAAGTGCCTGTATACTGAATCGAAGCTGGGATAGTGTTTGAGTCTCTGTGACTGGAAGTCCTGTGGCCCCTCAGAGGGTCCGTGGGTTCAGCTGCCTGTCTGTTGTTATTTTTACAGAATGTAAAGGCCACCAGCAGGTTTTCTTTGTGTTACTGTAACTGAGTAACAGGCAGCATTTATTCTGTTGGTAACTTAAAATCCCGGCAATGAAATCTGCACAAGCTGTGAGGTGCTGGGTCTGGGGCTTGGGACCACTGATGTCATTCCCCACCGTTGCTTTCAAAGCTTCTTCCTTGGTTACCAGTAGCTCAGAATGTAGACATTGAAGCCCTGGTAATCTTCCTGGTTAGGCCCCTGAGGCCAAGATAGTGTCACGAAATATAGCTCTTGGTGTATTGAGTTCTAGTAGAAGCCAGAGGCTGGTGAGCGGTGCATCTGTGACCACAAGTGGCATCTACGCAATGTCCTGGATGTGCGGGCTGCTTTGTTGGCTGTCAGGCCTGAGATCAGTAATGGCTAATGCCTGCACAAGCTTCTCTGAGGCTAAATCAGATGAGGTCTGCGCAGCAGTGGGAGAACAGGCAGGCACAGGGCTGCTGTCTGTGATGGCTGAGAGCTGGAGGGTGTCCGGCAGGCAGGCTCACCTCGTCCTCCCAGGCCTGTGTTTCCAGGAGCAGAGGCTTCTGATTCTATGCCAAGTCTTGCAGCTGACCTGGCTGCTGAATTCCTAGCTGAGGAGAGGCAGGCCGGCCTTGGTCAAGCACTGTTGCCCTGGGTGTGACTCCAGGGAGCTCCTCCTAGATGGCCATATTTAGTGTTCTCTCACCACCAGTACCACACACAGACACACCCTGATACCACCTTGCTGTCCCCCAGAGCCAGCCATTCTTGCATCTGTGCACAGGCCTGGTGTGTGTGGTGTCCGGGAAGAAAAGTCAGTGATGTGTGCGTGGTGCTGTTGGTCTGACTACATAGCGACTCCTAGTTGTCTAGATGCTGAAGAATCATTGGCTGCATCGTTGTATGTGCTCTCCATTTAGACTAGATGAAGGTGGGCAGGCTTTTCAGGTAGTCATTTTTGGCAGGAGGGATCTCTTTCCCTTTTTATTTGGTAGTGACTGGTGATTATGGTAGTCAGGCAGTCCTACAATATGATTCTTAGAAGATGTAAAAATCCACCTGGCAGTTCTGAGAAGTCAGCAGGTGGTTCAGACGGTCCAAATGTAGAGATCTAGTGGAAGTTTCCAGAGCTTATCACCAGCTGGTTGCTCAGCGATTCTCTCCTCATTATCTTATTTTTGGGGCCACAGGTGTCTGGGCTTAGTCACTGGTTTCCCTGTGGATTCTGTCACCAAGGGAGTGCCTGCTTAAAAACAGATACTTATTTCCTGAGGTACTGACTGCCATAGGAGCCACTGCTTAAATACCCTAAAGATTTTCTGTGGATTTCTAAAGTGCATTTCTGTAGTTCCGGCACTGTGGGAGGCTGAGGATGGAGAGTCACACATTCACCCCCAACCTGGGTGCCCTAGCAAGACACTACCTCAAAATAAAACTAAAAAATCAGACTAGCTAGGGATGTAGCTGTAGCTCAGTGGGAAGGCACTAGATTCAGTCCTCAGTAGTATACTGAGGAAAAGAACAAAAAAAAGATGTTCTTTCTCCTCAGGGCTTTTTGATTATGTGTTCCTATCACTGGAGGGGTTTTGCCCTCTGCTGATGAGGCACTGGGCACATAGAACAAGGCGCAGCCCTCCTTCCATCGGGAGGCCTCACAGTCCAAGGGTGAGAGCGGGCCAGGGACACTACTAACCGAAGACTGGATTATGGTTGCAGTAGCAGAGACAGACAGACTTGGGGAGTGCATAGAAGCCACCCAGAGGGCCAAGCAGAGCTGTCACAGAGAAGGTGGCGTCTGCACTGGATGCTGAGGGTGACCAGGACTATCAGCAGCTCTAGAGTTAGGGAGTGGGAGTGTGTTTCAGGCAGGGAAAACTGCACAGACAAAGCAGAGGAGAGAACAGCCCGCTACGGCTGGCCTGAGTGTTGAGATGCAGCTGAGGCTGCTTCTCTCATCCCAGGGGCCATCACGCGTCTGGGGGACCCCCTCCTCCCTCCTCGGCCCTTGTTTACCTCCCACAGTGGGCAGGACCCTTCTTCACTACTGTCTCCCAACTTGGTTCTCTTTTTAGCAATTATAATACAAGCAAAGAAGTCTGACAACGCTTGCAGCTAAGCATTTAGAGATGTAAGGGGTTGACAGGAAATGTTGGCATGAAGTGTATGCCGCCCAGGGCATTAGTCCCACAGCTGGCAGAGGTTCTGCTTGGCTTCCTGCTTGTCCTTCATTCTCATGTGCGGCATAAGAAAATATTTTTTCATCTTGTTTTTCTGGGAAGCCACAATAGCATTGTAAAGGTTGGGAGCTCTTGCTAGTGCTATGCAGTATCTCAGAATGACAGCGGTGGGCCGCCGCAGCTTCTGGGTGCCTTGCCATGCACCCTGAGCATTAGGATCCAGTGGTCACTGGCAGATCGGCTCCTTGCACTGGAATTGCCCAACGCCATAGCGTGGTGTGGAGTCCGCTGTTCCTCTGGGTGTCTAGCATCACCATCAGTGTCCTGGGGCTACAGTTGCGCACAGTGCTTACACGGAGGAGCCACCCTTGGCCAGATGTGAACCCCAGAGCCATAGAAAGGATGACATGCCTACTTTCTTGTTCAGCATGTTTGGAAAGAAGGCCTGAGGCAGGGCCCCAGTAGGTGTGTCCTGTTCCTGCAGCCTGGTACAGGCTGAACAGTTACTTGAATTTAGCTGTTCTGATTTTCAGTTCTGGGATAGCGCCATTATTCCACACTGTGTGTGTGTGTGTGTGCGTGCGTGCGTGCATGCGTGTGTGTGTGTTTAGGACAGGGTCTACAGGGTGTCACTACGTAGACAGGACTCGTAGTGATTCTCTTGTTTGCAGCCTCCCAAGTGTGAGATTACATGTGTGTACCAGTCTCAATCGCCATCTCGGTGCACCCCCCAGGTGGGGCTGGCACGGCCTGCCAGGGATCAAACCCCAGCCACTAAGCGCTGCCTAAGTAGGCACTTTAGTCCCCTGAGCTATCCGGCCAGCCCTCATTATTCTACACTTAACTCCCAACTGTGACAGAATTTTCCGTAAAATGTAAAACACATCCTCATTTCTGAGACCTTCTCTTTAGCAGTTTAACATGCACAAAAATAATTACGAAAGAAAATCATACCTCACAGCAGCTGAAGTTTGATCGATGCCATAAGGAAGCCACTATACTAGACTGAAGAGTAAGACAGTGCATAGAGAGCCACAGCCCAACCCAGAAGACGCTTGGAGCACAGCTGGAAATGAAGCCGCACATCCACCTGGGAGGCACACTCACAGGGCCGTGCACACACCAGAATAAGGGGTGCAAAGCTCAGCGGGGCCATCCAGGTGGGGATGACGGTAGGGAGATTGGCTTCAGTGTGCTCCCAAAGTAGAAGGCCCGTGGCACAAGAGACCTGGAATGCTGGTGCACCCTGCCCTTTAAGTCCTGCGAGCATTAGCTTCCTCATCCCTTGGACAGGAAGAGAGCTCCTGTCCGCCAGTGCCCGTTTTCTGTCTTGTGCCACCTCGGGACAAAACACGCTCCTGTGCCCTGCGAGAGTGCCTTGTCCACTGTGGCACCTCTTGAGCTGAAGGGGACACATGAAGATGTGTGCCAGGCAGTGGCCAAAGCCAACGGCAGAGCCAAGAGCACAGCCCGGGGAGCATCTGATGTTATGCACCGAGATCAGAGCACGGGCAGCAAGGAGTGAAGGGTTTCAAGGGTCAGGGAGACAGCAAGAGGTGACCAGTGAGTAGGCTATTAGGTGTCAGCCTTCCAAAATACAACAGTCGTGGGAGGCGGTAATAGGATGTAGGCATGGACACAGGGGAAGGTTCACATGTACCAAATAACAGGCCTGTTGGTACAGAACCAGGAAAGAAAAGTGCTACATTTGATCCTTGGCCTTTAGTACAGTATAACTTGCTATGGAAAGGGTTGTTTTTTAAATAAATTATGTGTACATCTAGAATATGTTCCAAAGAGTTCATAAGAAATCATAGGCTCAACTCACACTGAAAATATTTAATATGTACCAGACATCTTCTAGGCACTTTGCTGGTTTTAACTCATTAAATTTTAATTGGAGTCACTGAAGCAACTGGTTCACCAATCAGGGAAACACACTGAAAATTCTGATACATGGCGACTCTTTATTGTCCCCCACTTTACAGATGAGAAAACAAGCACACTACAGTTACAGTGCCTGCCCAAAGCCTCACAGCTGGTACACAGAGAAACGGGTATGAACCCGAGTCCACACTCCTCACGTTCACGTTAGAATGCCTCTCGGGAAAGACTCTAGTGTGACTGTAGCCAGTAGTCTGATCATCTGGGTCCTCTATTCCCAAGCCCTCTGATTTCTTCTTCTCCACACAGTGTGTGTTGAATGACATAGTGAATGAAACGTACCTCAATTTAATGAAGCCCAGTCCCTGACATTAGGAACCTCTGGATCTGCTGGATGGGGCCAGAAGTTAAAAACACACAAGATTCCATGTCAGATTTATAGCACAGGAAGAACAGACTGCTGCAGGGGAAGGGAGAGGTGCTGTTCTGGCTCGGGGATTGGGGAGTTGCTCACAGTGTATTTGGAATGGATCTTCACAGGTTTGTCCTTGGCTCCAGGGAGCAGGGGTTACGGTAGAGAGGGGACGGGCTTGTCTGTTGGGAATCCGAGTGCCCAGTGTGTGACTTCGTGAGCAGTTCTGGATGTGCCAGTGTCCATGCCAGACTGCATCCCAAAGCCCAGCATCAAGGAGGCACTTGGCTGTGGCTGATTGGCCTCACTCTTCTGCTTGGATAGTAAAGAGCTCATTATTCCTTGTGAGGTCAGAAAGTGGAAGAATTTGCAGCGTTGGCTAAGTTGCTGTTCATGATGCTTTTCTCTGGAGTAGGTAGATGAATAAATAGGACACTGGGGACCAAGAAGAGGATCCACCTCACTTGCCTGGTCTACAGTCAGTGACCAGAAAGTAAGCAAGTAGAGCTAGAAGCACCCTAAACATGATGCCCCAAAGTCCTTGAGCCAAAGCTGCTGCACTGTCTGTTGGAAAGGACCTCCTCACCTAAAGCAGCCGTGAAACGTAGCCCCTTTCCTTTCTTCCCCTCAGAAACTGACAGGTTGCTTCCCTGGTTTCTAAGTCCACATCAGATTAGTGACAAATTATAACAAAGGGTCGGCTTCAGGCAGACACATGGGCAAGCAAGAATGACAGCAAAGGAGGAAACAGATCAGAAGCAGCGTACCATGGACCACTGGTGTAGGGGCGGCTGTCTGACACAGCACAGAGGCCTGGGTGCTGTGCTGTGTCGACATTGGCTCCTTCACGGGTATCTTGATGCTGTGGAATTGCTGTGGTTGGTTACTCTTTCACAGAGGGTACGGAAGTGTGTGTTGTGTTCTGGGAAGGCTCCTTTACCATACTGTTGGAAGAGACATTTGGAACTTAGAGCTTAATGGCCTGCCTCCCACAGCCATTGTTGTCTGGTGGCACAGGTACGTGAAAGCATCCCTGGGAGACACTGGCACAGTGAGCTGTGCCTGAGCTTGCTGTCTCCACAGCCTGGCGACACCATACTGCACAGCGGTTCTGGCCGGGGACCCAGTGGGGTCTGACACAGTACATTTTTGTGGCTGAAACTTCTCTACCCCGCAGGAAGGCCACACAGAAGAGCCGGAAGCAGAGGAGCAAACCCATGACCAGCAGCCCCAACAGCAGGAAGAGTACTGAACCGTCCTGGCAGCTCATGACACTTCCATTGTGCATGGGAACTTTTCTTCTGGAGAATTGGAATGTGCGGCCTCAAGCTCAAGAGAAACCAGTTGTTCCCGGCCTGCCGGTACCATCAATGCTCTGTTGCATACGCCAGCCCTGCACTTGGTTCACATTTCCTTTGCCAAGTTGCATTAGCAGGCGGCCATTTTGGCCACCTTCCTGAGAGATCGTAGGGTTACACGCCTTCAACTTCACTTGGCTGCTTGAGATTGGTTCTGCTCTTTCCCTCATTTCTTTCCAGAACAACTCTTCCCTGCCCCAAAACAACCACCACCATTACCACCCCTTTTTATCCTGGTGTGAAACAATGGTAATTTGATATATGGTATTTATATTGGCATTTCTCAACCCAGTGTCACTAGATGTCACATGCATTTGTGGTGCTTTGATGTTTGCAAGTCTAACTTATGAACATAAATTTGGTCAAATAATTGGAACAAAGGGAAACAGATACTTGATGTGAAAGCCATAATGACAGTGATTTGTGTCGTAGAGGAAAACATAGGGTCGGTTTTGCCCTCTACTCACAGAAAAAGGAGAAAACTGATTTGAAACTGGGGCTTTGAGGCCCAGCGAGCAGTGTTCATAGAGCAGCATGTTAGACAACCATGCAGTATGCTGTTAGTTTTGAAAGACATTCGCTCAAGGAAGACACCATCTCAACTTTGCCCTCTCTCGGCGTGCTCCTGCCCTCCCGCCCCTCTCTCCCATCCACTTCCCAGGTTCTTGTATTATTTTCTTTCTCAGGGTCCTCTTTGGTGGGCAGCCACTCTCCCCAAAATGTCATCAGTCATCTGCAGGTCATAGGAGGTCATGGAAGGGACAGGCCCTCTTGCCTCATCCCTCTTCCTCCTCATTCACAGTAGGGATTTCCTCCTGAAGGGCGGCTTCAGGGTGTGCAGGCTACATCGGGCTCTGCATCCGGTTGCGCACTGGCTGAAAAGTGGGAAGCAAACACCTCAGTCCTAGGAGAGCATAGTTCCAAGGGAGAATCATAGTTGTGCAGTCTGGTGCTGACAGTGGATCAACAGCACAGAAAAACCTATGACTCCCAGCATCTTCTGAAACGAGGAATTTCCCCTCTTTAACACAAGGGCCCTCCTTGTCTTGGACATTTGCTAAACCATGGCAATCCATAAACAGAGGAAACATTGATGAATTAAAAGCATTCCTTATTTTTTTAACTAATATTTGCACATTTTTCTTAGTCTCTTTCCAAATTCTTTTGCCTCTTTTTCCCCCCATCAACCGGCGGTCTCCCTTCCTCGACCATTCGTTTCACTTGGTTTCTAACTTCAGATTTACTTTATTAGCAGGTGCAACAAAAATAAGAAACAAATGTCCCCAACCCGCTTTCTGCTTAATTGAAAGGCTTAAAATAAATTTCTGAATAATGTATCATAAAACTTTGAAATTTCTTTATTGATGGAATAATTCTAAATTCTAGCATTGAAGTTTGCACCAAAAGAAATCTTTCCGAAATAAATCTTTTACAGCAAAGTTGTATTTATTGAGTTATATATGGAAAAGATGGCTTGTATTTTTGCGATGATTACAACACACTGTGCAGAATAGGACAGACGTTCCGTGGCGTTTGGTTTCCCTGTCTTCTCTCTCCTGCTCACTCTGCATTACTGCAGCAGCTCATGTCTCAGGCTAGAAAGCCTGGCCCCCAGCGGTGACGTCCTCCCCCACCTGGTTACAGGTCGCGGTTGTGCTGTCTACAACATCATGCTGAATGGTATAGCGCCCCCTTAACCTGTTGTGCTCACTGACTGTAAAAATAGCTCTTGTAAAGAGGCACAATAAACAGCTCCTTGCAGATACTTTCCTGTGGTTCCTAGGGTATTCTTCATCTGCCCTGGACATCTCAGTAATACCTGTGCCAGGGGGTTGTGACCACTCCTGTCATGTGGATGCACATGAACAGATACAGCCAGGATCCCATTTTCTCCAGAGCCACTTGACACCATGTAACATCCTAGCCCTTCCTGATGACTCTTGCCGGAGCCACTCCGTTCCTTTCTGGGTCCCCAGCCTTCTAGCTAGAGACACCACAGAGAGCTCTCCCAGGAGCCACGTTCCATTTGGCTTTCAGTGACCGAGGCAGATCATTAGAAGAGAGCTACACATTCCTCTTTCTGTTCACATCTTAAAATTCTTCTGTTGTGCTGCTCCCTAGTTAATGTCACGGGTTCTTTGGGGAATCTTAACAGCTATGTTGCAGAGTCAGTCTTTGGCTGTGACCCCTGCCACTGTTCAGTCATCACTGGCTTCCTGGGTGGAGGGGCCCCATCGTGTTCTCAGCCTTCTAGTCGGGGCACGTGTTCCACCCCCAGTCACTTGTCATTGTGCTCAGGGGACAGGTATCCCTGTCTGCTCTGCCATCGCAGGAAGGTGACTTCTTGGTACCACTTCATGCCCGCTGTCGGCTGGAATAGCACTTCCGTGGCCACTGCCAGATGGAAGTGATCGAAGCAGGGGGCAAAGAGAAAGCTCATGTTCACCCTGAGCAGAAAAGCAGGAAAAACAAAAAGACAAACACCCTATTGACCCAAGAGAAGTAAACTCCAGAAGGGAACCAAGAATTCCTCCCTTCCCTGGTGAGTATTTCCATTATTCCGTTACGGTTTAATATGCATTCAGATTACTTTTACTAAATAGTACACCATAAAGCTTTTGTTATATATTAAATGTAAACTGAAAGGAATGTAAACATATGTATTGTTAATTATAAATATAGATAAGTAATGACATACTAGATGAAAGTCTTATTTGGATGTATCACATTCATTTTACATTACCCACCTATTGTCGCATGGTAGAATAGTTTTTTGTCTGAATATGTGAATAACTTGACTTGCGTTGATCTTTTTACATATTTAATAAAAAAAATATATGTTAAAATATGGATCTAGATTCTTCTTTTTTTTGCCTGGCAAGCATAAGGTCCTGACCTTAATTCCTGGTACTAAGAAAAAAAAGAAAGAAAAAATAGGTAGGTTCTTTTATTTTTTTATACTAACGTTTCTTTGCAGTGAGCATGTATATGTGACAGATTTGTATGGATTCACACATCTGCCCATCCATATTTACTCAGGGAAATGGGATGTCATTATTTTTATTAATGGCTAAAATTTCAACAGGAATTAGATTCTTATTTGGTATCAAATAAAGCAACTGTAATAACTTTAACAGTGGGGTTTTTTAAATACTGTTTTTTTTTAAAAAACTTTACCAAAAAATACAAAGATAAGGCATTCCCCTGGGAATACTCCGCTTGCAAGCAAACAAAAATCCCATTTCCTATGGGGCCAGCTGCTCATCTAGACGGGGGCCAGTGCTGGGGAACTGGGAGGCAGAGGGAGAGTTGGGAGGGTATCTTAAGTTCTTGATGGAAGAATCCGATTGGCAAAAGCTCTCTAAATAAGTGTGTTTCTCCTTCTTGTCTGTTTAGTTTAAACAGTGATGATTTATTGACATGAACTATAAATAGGATACAAATTTATAGGCACAGGAATGTGTGGAAGGGGGAATCTGTTTAAGGGGGCCTTGGAGCCACCTGCAGAGCCTGTAGAGCAGATGGCTATGTGTTGACGACTTGGCTGTGGAGGCGCAGGTGCAGGAGGAGGTAGGTGCCCTTCCTACCCTTTTCACTCTTTCCACCACAAAGGACTCAACCATCCCCAAATTGCTTTCAGGCACCACCTAGAGGCCAGTTGTTTTCCTGTACTATCCTTTGGCAACTCTTCCCTTACTTTTTTTTTTTTTTTTTTTTTAATCAAAGAGCAGAGAAGTGAAGGAAGTAACAGAAGACAAATGCTCTACCAGTCTTGCCCGTCAACATCCGTTTCTCCCAGAATACACTGTGACAGAGCCTGGCTTTTTGTGAAATCCTGCACTCAGAACACATGTATTTGCCCTTGACTCTCACCGATACTGGGGCTTTCAACACTGAACCTTAGACTTTGTACACAGGTGGTCAAAAGTAATTGGGTTGGGGTGAGGATATAGCTCAGTGACAAGCACCTGCCCGGCAAGTGCAAGTTTGATTCCCAGTATCAAACAAAAAGTAAAAGGGGATTCATCCTAAAGGTGTGATAGGAGGCTGTAATAAACTTATCACCAACAATTCAAACATGGTAAACACCGGTTTTATTTTAAATCTGAGATCTTTCTAGAAATGTAATCGGTTGGTACAGGTATCAGTGACAAGCTCAGAGTCCAGAGTCAAAAGTAATAGCATTCCACTAAATTCGTGTTTCAGAAATGCTAGTTATATAAAATTAAACCCAGTCGCAAGACCTCTCCTTGTTCTAACAGCAAGAACACAGCTGTGATGGTCATCGCGGCTGCTGCCGCCAGTAAACATTGCTGACCCAGTTTCTCAGTACTAAGGCAGGACTTCCAAGCAGCGCAAGTGTTGGCTTGAAGCACCTCTCTGGATGTCGCTCAACTTCTGTTTTGCTGAACTGGGGACTCAAATCTCCATTCATTACAAGGATGCTGGCTGGTTTCACCCACCAGGAACAAAAACTCAAAGAGCAAATCCATAGATGCCTCTGGGAGCCGCATGTGGCACCAAGAACTCAAATCCTAAGACCGCCCAAGGCCAAGGCCTGTGGCCCTGAGCTGCACAGAAGGTGCCCAGAAGGTACACGCCTGTGGCAGTGCAGGAATGCCAGCAGAGCGGAAGGCCCAGCTGAAGTTAATTTGTTGAATGCCTTTTTCTCTCACTCCACTGGAAGAAAATGTTAAGCCTTTTTAGCTTGCCAAGTTGTAATTTCTTAAACAGGTTTCTTGTGTTTTGTAGCTCCTTTATCAAGACTGGGTGTAAATGAAGTAATTTTAAAGGGTAATGACACATTAATGTCTCTTTACTTTATGATTTTCAGTCAAAACCAGCCCTGCACCTCAATGTGTTCTTGGTCAGAGACTTGTAAAGTTAAGCACACACTTCCTTCCAAGTAGCAGATGTTCCTCATGTCTTTACACTATGGTGTTTCTCTGGGTCTTGAAGGTTATCTGTGAAGGCTATGTTTCTGTTAGCCATTAAAAGGTTTTGATCAAATCTGACAGCTTAATTGAAACTTTGGGAATTAGAAAGTAATGAAAAGTTCTCATAAATATGTTCAAAATTTCATTCTGACTCCCAATTCACATCTTACCACTAAGAATGCTCCCTTCTAATCCAGTGTATTTATTATGTGGGTGAACTGTGGCCTCCTACAAATGGAACAGCTTTTACCAGTGTGAAAGATTTTCTAGAAAAAGATGACAAAATGAGTATTCATGCCAGTTTCTTCCTTTTTTCATTTTGTTCTCAGCTCTGGTGGATATTGAGTGTAGAGCCTTACACCGCAAGTGCTCCACTACTGAGTCACACCCTTTTGTCTTTATTTTGGGGGAGGGTCTCAATAAGTTGTCCCTGTTGGCTTCAAATGGGTGATCATCCTGCATCAGCCTCCCAAGTAGTTGGGATTATGGGTATGTGTCATCATACCTGGCTGTGCTAGTTTTTTACTGGCTAAGTGATATCTAGTTAGATTCAGGAGCCTTCCTATCCTACAGACAGGTCGCATTGACCAGTTAGCTGAGCTTCAAGAGAAGGGAAATGGGAATTTTACCCCAGAGCATTTTCTTTGTTTTATTTTATTTTTTAATTCATTTTAATGAGAAGAAAAGATAAAATAGCAATGAAATAGTTTCAAAACAGGTTAGTAGGAACGTTACAATAATAAATTGCATATGTTGACTTCATAATAGTTATTCAGAAGACAAGATGCAGACATGATTCTTTGTCTAAACAATATTAGTACAAACTTATTCTCAATGAACTAAGAGAAAGTAGCTGTATATCTATCCTAACTCTTGTGTATACATATATACTTTTTCTTTTTTTTTTTTTTCACAACAGAACGGTCCTTTATTTACACTTTTGTGAAGTTAGTAATGCATGACACTAGGTTGCCTAGCAACTGATAGCTAACCTTAACCAGAGAGGATGTTCATCTCAGGAATGAGGTAACTTGTTTGCTTTAGGCCCTGGGCCAAGTCCCACCTACACATACTTGATCGATTTCCTAGCTTCATGGCTCCCAACATATCTCCCTTTTTTATTTTGTCTTGTCAGAGATGGGTGTTCCATGGCAGTTAAAGAAGCTGTATTTGGAGAAATCTTTAAATGACCTTTTCATACTTGAAGATAGTCTAAAGATTGTAGGTACTTGAATTCAGCAAACTAACCCAATATAATCCAATAGTGAGTTAGCAGCAGAACTGGCAATTGTCAGAAGTTGTTGACTTGAGCCTTTTACAGCTCAACATATTAATTTGGCATTACTTTATTTTTCTGCATATATGTATGTTTTCAGGGAAGGGTCTACAGGGTGTTCAGGTCTAGCGTCGCATTACTAGATTGGACTCATAGTGATCTGCCTTTTTACAGCCTCCCAAGAGCTAGGATTACAAGGGCACACCACTATGCCATCTCAGTTGCTGTCTCAGCGTACCTTGCGGGCGGAGCTGGCATGACAGGCCCAGGAGATCAAACCCTGCTTGTAGGCACTTTAATCAGCTGAGCTATTTGGCTTACCTTGGCATTACTTTTTAAACCTCATGGTTATACTTTTCTGCTGGATAGTTAAGACCAAGTTAAAGCAAAACCTATATAACTAAAAATGTAACTTGTATCAACGTCAGATACCCTCAGGATTTACCCTGAAACCACAAGCAGCACCTAGTAGATCTTTGGTCAGTGTTAGGCATGTGGATGAGTCATGGCCATTACATGACCAATTTTCTCTCTGTGAAAGCCTGAGAGAATTTTTTCTCTCTAAGTGACTCTCCTTAGGCACACTATACATAGTCATACACTTTCCTCTGTGGCCTCATAATCTCCTTGATTAGAAAATTTGGGACACAACTAAGTTACAGGATGTTACAGCACAGGTTCTCCTATGTCCTGAATCCTCACTGACCTTGAAGGCCTAAAGCCAAAACATTGGCTATCCTTGTAGCCTCTCTATTTCTCTTAATTTTTGGTCTGCAAACTTTAGTTGTTAACCATCCAGAAGTTTAATGATATTACCCTATAACAGAGCTCAGCATCACTGTCTGTCTGAATATCAAACACTTTAGATATAACGTGGAACTGCTGTTGTCCAGCAACCATGTATATTCTAAAATTTAAATCCCTATAGAATGAAAAAATACACATTTTTACACAGGAATTTAGAAATCAAACCATACACAACATTGTAGCAGAACAATCCTATGACATTTTTTTCTTGTCTCTTTTCTTTTATTACCTTTTTTAAACAAACATTTACTTTAAAGAGAGTATAGCAATAATTGATATGACATTAGAAGCAGTACTCATTTAGAATACCAAAATAACAGGTATTTCAAGCATGGTTTTCGTATTACACGTTGCTATCCTCAGTTTAGTTGCTTAGTTCACAGATATCAGCATATAGAGTTAGGGTGAGAATTCTACCTATTAACTATTTTCAAAAGCCTGATGGAGAGTCTTAAGACCATTGCCTTAACCATCTTGTTTATATAAATGTATGGTTTTGGGGGCTGGTGAGATGGCTCAGTGGTCTAAAGCACCTACTTAGAACAAGCTTAGCAAAGCACAGGGACCGCGGTTGGATCCCCCAGCACCACATGCCAGCCAGCCCCGCCCCCTGGTGGGCTGAGCTGGCCACACACACACACACACACACACACAATAAAATAAAATAAAAACACTTTAAATAAATAAATGTATGGTTTTGCCCCTGCCATATTTCCTAACTTTTCTCCTTTCTCTTCGTATTTAATCTTTAAGTTCTCACTTTCCATTTAACCGTTTTATACCTTTCAATTTTTATTTCTTCTTTTGGTTCTTACACTAGGGAGACTATG